GCAAAATTCAAAATTTCCTGGAATTTGACCTCGGCATCTACAAAGTTGAAAGTGCAATACTTGTATACTGCCCTGCTGCTCTTCTCATCTGCCGTTTGAGATTCCTAACGTACATACCACTGTTTATGATGGTGAGCACCTGCGTCTTGATTTCACTCCCCCCGCCCTTCGTGCTGTTTAAGACGCCTGTGCAGTGGGCTGCTTACGTCCACAGTTCGGCTGAAAATGACCACAGACGGAACCACGTCGCTGAGACAGACCTGCTGACGGCGAGAAATATTTTGCCACAGTAGTTAAGGTTGCGTTGCCTAATATCACCCTGAGATACCCTTCATAAAGGTCACATTTCATAATCTGGGTTGCTCTGCTAATCTTTGATGACGATAACATAACAGCAGCAACATGCCTATATCCACCGATGAATCGTTTAGAATTATCACATTCCGGTTTACAGTTCGCACCCTTTACAGACTGCTGAAACACGCGTTAGGACTAACAGAAAGTTGACGCTTGATACTAGTCGCATAGCAAAAAGACCTAGAATAGGAACCAGATTTTGTTTGGAGTTTCCAGCCTTCCTCAGCCGCAATGGTTGGAAGTTTTTGCGCATTAGAGATTAAAATATCGTCATTTGTCCATGGGTTTTTCAAAGTCAAAGTCAACTGCACATGTAATATCGAATTGGATGCTTGCTGTCAAGCAGATTTAGTTTTTAGGCCTTTTCATGCTCTTTAATAGACCTGCCGATGTTTTGGATGTTTCTAGCCCATAATACCAGTTCTTGGTGTCGTTCACCATCTGGATCAGTATCGCCGCAAGTTAAATGATGCAAGACATCTAAACGCACTTTGCACAGACCTGATTTTACTTTAGGCTTTAAATCAGTGATTGAATGAATTATTAATTTTTTGTTTAGTTTATTCTCCCTCATATTTATGATTTGCAAGTCACAGAAATTTACGCGTACAACTGGTTATATAAAGGGATACAAATACATATCCAGTAAAACGTTTGATATAATGATAATTTTAAAAAAAAATATTTTCCTGTATATTTGGCTATGAATACTAAATGCCGTGCAGCTTAGTGCAGTAAAGTCTGGATAATTAAAAAATATTCAAATAAATTAAATTTTCTATTAAATTTAAAATTAGCTTGACTTAGGCGTTTCGGCCTTCTGGTCCTGAAAGCAGGGTAGGAACCGTTGCGAAAGATAAAAAGAACGTCCGAAGCTAATGCACCTTTCTATTCTGAATAGGACTCATAAGATACGGACCGAAACGTCGGTACTGATCAACCAGTCATCATTTATCAAAGGTTTTGCGTTCTACATCAATTAATAATGTTTAATGCTGTTTTCAGTGTAACCACCAATGCGCAAACTAAATACTCATATGTAATTGGTTAGGAAGAATTCAAAATATAATTAATAAAAAATAATGGTAAATTGTGCATTTCGTTAACGCACCTACCTACACGATCTGATGTTGTACGTGAGTGTTATATGAAATTACACAGTTGTAATTTTTAGACATTCTTAGCTAAATGTTGAAAGCAACTGACGTTTCATTGGCTCTACATGGAAAAATTTATAGATATTATGCAACACCGTGGAATGCATAGAGAATCGTAAGAAACTGAAGTAGAATAAAATGATTCTTTTAAATTAGTGTTTTATGCTTATGTTAAGATATTTTTA